GCATCCCCGGTTGGTCTTGGCGCTGTTTTAACCCAAAAAGACAGTTTGAACAAACCAAGGATAATCTGTTTTGCCTCAAAGGGCCTTACGAAGACGGAGAGAGTTTACCCGCAAACACAGCGCGAAGCCTTGGCTGTCGTATGGGCGGTGGAAAAATTTTACATGTATTTGTTCGGAGTACACTTCACTGTGTTTACCGATCATAAGACGCTCGAATATATTTTTGGTGGAAAACATCAGGAAGGTAAACGTGCTTGTACGCGAGCCGAGGCATGGGCATTACGGTTACAGCCTTTTGATTTTAAGGTGGTGCATGTTCCTGGATCCGACAATATTTCAGATATCTTCTCGAGGCTATGTCCGCAGTCAGATGCACCATTTGACGAAGCATCAGAACACTATGTTTGTGGGATAAGCGAAGGGCCGACAGCCATTACGCTGGATGAAATCAAAAAGGCAACAGATCTCGACGAAGTGCTTAAAGGAGTTGTCAAATCAATTGCGACGCAAGTGTGGCCATCGAACTTGTTCGCATATCAAGCTTTCTCAAAGGAATTGGGTGTGATAAATGGAGTTGTAGTGAGGGACGACCGAATCATTCTTCCGTCAAAGTTGCGACAGAGAGCTTTGGATATCGCGCATCGAGGTCATCCGGGAGTAGTTGCAATGAAACGGAATCTCAGGGAAAAAGTGTGGTGGCCCTATATGGACCGTGATGTTGAGCATCGCGTTCAAGAATGTGCAGGTTGTGCTTCAGTAAGCATGCAGGGGCCTCCAGAACCAATGCATCGGAAAGAAATGCCGGATCGTGCATGGCAGGATTTGGCACTGGACTTTTTCTCTGCCAAAGAATGTGCGACGTTCTTGGTAGTAGTTGATTACTACAGTAGATATTTGACCGTCATTGAAATGAGAACTACCACTGCTTGTAAAACTATCGAGGCTCTGGAGCGCGTTTTTAAAGAACACACATACCCAGAGACAATTCGCACTGATAATGGACCTCCTTTCGCCAGTGAAGAATTTTCAGGCTACTGTCTTAGCAAAAATATCCGACTTGTGCGCAGTATCCCGTACTGGCCTCAGATGAACGGGTTGGTTGAAAGGCAGAACCAGGGGATCCTGCGAACTTTGCGAATTGCTCGAACAACAAAAGAGGACTGGCGAAAAGCAGTTAATGAGTACGTGTACTCTTACAATACCACTCCACATACTATGACAGGAAAATCACCAATGGAGCTGCTCACTGGAAGACCAGTGAAAGATCTACTGCCGTCACTAAGAACTGAGCCCTACTGGAATCGGGATGAGGAAATACGAGATAAGGACATTATCAGAAAAATGCAAGGTAAATTGTATGCGGATAAACGTCGACAAGCTAAAGCATCGGAAATAGTTGTTGGAGATTCTGTCTTGATCAAAAACTATGAACTGGGAAAACTGGAACCGAACTTTCGACCCGAGAAATATACAGTAATCCATAAAACCGGAAGCGATGTGGTCGTATTAAGCGAAGATGGAGTTAAATACAGGCGACCTGTAGCTCATTTGAAGAAGTGTCCAATTGCCCACAGCCGAGATGGTTTGGAGTTGCAGAAGATTCCAAACACAGCCGATTCCGATTCACGACAGACTATCGCAGATGATTCAGCTCGGAGCTCGATTCGCGAAGAATCTCCCACCGCCAAACGTCCTAAGCGAACTACAAAAATGCCTGCACGGTATGATAAGTAAATATATTTGAGTCAGTACTTTGATTTTCGTATAAAATATATATTTGATAATATCATAACTTTTTTTTTGGCCAGGTGAGAGATGTAGAGTGGTAATAATTAACATTGTCGCGCCCCTTGCCGGAGGACCTTGCAGAAAACAGAGAACCAGCTAAATTCAATGGTTAGAGGCAGTCGATTACGGTACGTACACGCGAACGGACTGGTTTAAATAAATCTGTTTCTATTTAATTCATATGTGAATAATTTAAAGCTGAATCCGAAAGTGTTATTCTTGTGGGTGAACTCTACACAGACTAAATTCGAAAACTTCACAGAAGTACAGAGATCTGCTGAAACATTTCGAGAACTTCATAAAAGTCTATGGAACTTAAGGGAAGATCCGAGAACTTCAGGAATTCATATGGATATTTCGGGAGTATTTCTAATAAGTTTCGTAAAGCTCCGAAAACAAAGGGAATTTCAGGGGAGTTCAGTTTCATAAGTTTCACTAAATTAGCGGAAAAGTTCAAGATGTTCCCAAATTTTCAAAGAACTTAAGAGATTTTAGTCATTTTTTTTTTATTAAAGAGACTTTCAGCCTTGGGCTGTTCCGTCTCTCCCCTGAGATTTTAGTCATATTATTGAGGCCACGGAAGCTTGAACATTTTTAAAATAGTTCCATTAAGGTGATACTCTAAGGAAACCTTAGCGTGAAACTTTAAAGGCACAAATGTCAGCTTCCACAAAATATACAAATTTGAAGTTGCTGCTCGTTTTTTGCTGTGCTGCTACAAACAGAAAGTAGCAATTTTAAATTTTTATGTTTTGTGGAAGCTGACATTTGTGGCTTTGAAGTTTCACGCTAAGGCTTCCTTAGAGTATCACCTTAAATTCAGGGTGGTACAACAAGTTTCATGAGAACTGCAAACACGTTAGAGAATTTTCGAGAACTTCAAGAAAGATATTGATCTCGTTAAAAAGCTATAAAAAAAAAACTTCAAGAAAAACAGATATACTAAGAGCAGAGATATTCCAGAGCAGCGAAATGTCATGTTAGGAAAATTGAGGAAGTCTGAAAATGTTTAGAGAAGCTAAAAACAACGATGGAAAGTATTGTGAGCATCAGGCTGGATAAGAACTTCAAGGCAGTTTAATTAACTTCAGGAATATTTTGGGAACTTTCAAGTTGTTCTGAAGACCTCACAAGAATATAGTGAGAATACTTCTCGCAACTATTCTTCCAATCTAATTTTCTTTTAATTTTCCTAGGAATTGCTTTGAAATTCTCCTCAGGTAGAAAAGAATTGATTTCAAATTCTTTTTTAATTTCACTCCATTTCTTGAAATTCTACTCTCATTGAAAGCCCCCTAAGAATTCATTCCTTCTCAAAAGTTCCTTAGATTTCTCTCCTTAATTTGTTTGGCAATCTCTCCTGGAATTATTTTCCAAATTTCTTTGAAGATCTCCTGGAGTTATTCTCAGATTTAATTGTAATCCTTTTAACATCCCCTTCACCCCTTAAGCATTCACTAAAAAATTACGAGGACTTATGCTCCGATTTCAAATGTGTGAATGAAAATAACAAGAAAATGCATTCTTCTCTTCGGAATATCTTTAATAAAAAAGAATATGAAATTTCCTGAGTAATGATAAGATTCCGTGAGTCTTCCAGGTATTTCCCAGATAGCAGACACTTGGAGGCTTAATCATTAGCTTTCTATTGAATATTTCGCTTTAAAGGTTCCTATCGTACATATTTAAGTGTTTATGAAATTCTCAGTGAATAGGTCTAAAACATCCATCACTCATTTAATATACCATCAAAACGACTAATTTTCTTCCCTAAGGTCACTTTTTAGTCATTTTTTTTATTATAGTCACTTTAACACTCTTGGTTCATTCGTGACCTTTCCGGAGGTGAGATTTGAACTCGTGACTTTGACGTGAGAGGTATGGATGTTAACCACTACGCTGGGGTTGCCCCCATTTTAGTCACTTTTTTACAACTATAAGTCACTATTTGGTCGCTTATTTCTTCAACATTGTCTCTAAAATCACTATTTTGACAGCATTGATTGCTACCAGCCCTGCAAGAGAAACCAGCAGAACCTGTTGGGACAAAGTATCGTAAATTTCCGAAGCAAGATGGTTCAAAGATTATTCGGAGAGAATTCCTGGGAAATTCGAAAAAAAAAGACGGATGGCATTTCCAAATGATGTCATAAGGACTTCTGAGGAAGTCAAAAGAAAGCTCCAGGAGAAGCCAGAAAGTTCTTCCTGGGGAAGTCAGAAGAAACTTTCTGAGAACATCGGAATAAATTTCCAAAGAAAGTTGTAAAAAACTCGGCTATTTAGGAACATTTCGTAAATCCATTTAATTTCCTTACAAATTAAGCTCATGTTCGCTACTTACTACATTTTCATTGAAAATTGACTTGGTATCCTCAACAAAGGCCGAAACCAACGGGTTCGAATCCCAGTCTGATTCAAGGATTTTTCGGATAAAATTATGCTTCGACTTTCCTGCCGAGTACCCGAGAGCAGGCATTGCTTTCAATTGAAACACAATAAGCCAAAGGGTAATGACAAAACAGTTTGGCATTACATGAAAAGCCTTACCTTTGATGAAGATAGCTCAATTTCGTTTCCAAGGGAAAACTTTCTTCCAGTAACCTAATTCCAAGGTAAAGTCTAGACAACCACCCCACAATCGAAAGTATTCTAACGACTTATAAAGCGCTTTACTTTGTTTTTTGTTTAGCCTCCCTTTCCAATATTTTAGATCAAGACTCATCACGCTGGGGGCCGCTAGCGATAGAAAGGTTTACAATTTCGTCTTAACCAACACAACTTTCGATCTCAAAGGCCAACCGGATCCAGTTTGACGATGCTAATTAATGGTTTCTTTCGAGGAAAAGATCGTTAAATTAGCTGGGGTGAAAATACTCGAAATCACTCCCGGTCAAAATGCTGTCGCAGCCATCATCGCCGAGAGCCTGTTTGTTTTTATCACTCTCGGTAGATACGCTCTGAACGTGATAACGACCTGCGTGCTCATTGGTGCTTTTCGGGACATTCGGGTTGTCACAAACAGATTCCCGGCAACAGCTTAAAGCCATTACTTCGTAGAAACAAAACATTTTTATACAATCTTATGAAGTTGTTGGAAACATGATTCCATTTACCGGGAATATCCTCATTCAATCTCCAATGTGCGTCAGCGTAATTTCATCGAAATATTTGATAAGGTTTATTATTGGATCCCGCCCAATAAAGAGTCTTACCTTGAGGGACCAATCGTCCAACGCGGGATTATATACACTCTGGTACCTCTGGTCCGAGGTGTAGGTGGCTTTGCCAACCGTTAGCACATGCAGATCCCGATGCCGGATCCAGGATACCTGTAACGGTTGGAGATTTTAATTAGGCTAGTCATCCAACAGCATGAGTGCGATGGCTACTAATTGACTGACTTCGGCAACCATTCGCATTCGGTCGTCAAGTTGATTGATTGTTTAATTAAAAATCTCAACTCACCGTTCGGTTGCCGAGATTGCGTACCCGGCAGTTCAGATAGGCAGTGTTGCCCACGAGGGCCGTTACATTCCTCGAGGCCGAGATGTCGAAATACGGCCCCCGGTCCAGGGGGTTTTTCACGCCGATGTCATCGCCGTCCAGATCCGTCTCATCGAACGACGACGTCTGAAAGTAGTGCTTCGGTGGTGTGTACGTGTGCGGTTCGTCGATATCGACCGACTGTGAGTGAGAGGAAATGCCTGGAAGACGAAAATGGCAAAAGCGAAACAAAAATTGATTGATCCGAAATTAATTACGTTTTCCGGTTGAAGAATTTCATCACGGTGACAGTTTCCATTTTCTTTATTCCTTTCTAGTCCGAGGCCCGAGCTTGACTCGTACCATCAGTACGTGATATTTGCGGTTTTGTCTCTGGGAAAGATTCATCAAGCTGGCTTTCAAATTGGATTAATTCCTGGAAAATTGACGGAAAGCATACGTCCGGATGAAATTCGTCTGATTCCGATTATCCGCAGTGGAGTCTTACCATTATTAACGTTGAAGAAAATCATCACAACCACTATATGCTTCATAGTTCCTAGATGTGCCGGAGATCCATGTTCTGCAAACGAGAGAAAGACAAATACAAACACATGAGTCTAGATTCGTTAAAAATTTGTAACGAATTGTCAAGAGGTAAACTTTCAGGTGGGTTCTGCTTCCCGGACGCCATGGAAAACTTTTCGCACAGGTTGAAGGAAAACATGGATAAGGTATTTATCATTCGCGAAAGTATACCTTCAATGGAAGTTGCGCCACTTCAAGTTGTTTTGAATGTTAGACTTTTGCGTTTTGTTTGTTTATTTTTTTGGTCTGATGGTATCAAGAAACATGCGCTGCGATTTAATTAGATAAGAAAACAGAAGTTCTTGGCTTCAATGGGTTAACGAAAATTTAAAAAGCCTTATGTTTTCAAGTTTGAATATTTCTGGTTGGGGCATACAATTTTTTTTACCGCATTTGCAAGGGCGTATGTTATTCTTAATAATTTGAAAAAATAGAGGTTTGTTATAACTGTTTTCATGAAATAAACGTTCTCCCCAAACCTAGTCCTCATCATCAAGTACGATTTGGTTGCACATCGTGCTGCTTGAATCTGAAAAGTTATAAAACAGCGCTGCTAATGTGCCTCAACTCATCATTCTCTGCTTGATCGTCAAGCAGTACAGTTCGGCATTTGCTCTCTCTGACGAGCTGTTAGAAAGTTTCTAGTTTGTTCCAGTTCGCAGTTTAATTGCATTGTCAGTAGTGTCGGTCGCTTCGTGTGATGGGAAGACAGCGCTCCCGGAGCAGGCTCCGTGAGAGAGCGGAGAAGAAGAACAGCGGTGAGGGTAGCTTGAGTGTACCTATTTCGAATAGGTACACTACTCTTCCCACCGATGTAGGGAATCCCACCTCAGCCACGGTGAAGCGGTCTAAGAAGAGGAAGAAAAATCAAGGCCAGTCCGATGGTGTGAGTGGACGCGACGATGTTACCGCGACGAACGCCAGCGACATCGGTGATTTCGGCGACGCCGTCGAAAACGAAAATTCTGCCGGCCCGAGTGCGGCGAAAGGCAAGCTTCCTCCAGTGGTGGTGAAGCAAAGTACCACTCAAATGCTCGGCAGGATCGGCACCAAGGTGATGCTCCGTACGAAAGCGGAAAATATCTGAAATATCTGAAGGATTCCAAGGCGGAATTCTTGACACACGACATCCCCGGTGAGAAGCCCTTCAAGGTAGTCATCAGGGGTCTAACAAACTTCGACCCCAAGATCGAAGGTCGAAGCTGAAATCAACCGGTGCAAGCTAGCCCCAATCGCTGTCTTCCGAATGACAATGAGAGACGAAAACGTGAAGACGTACCCGGATTGTCTCTTCCTGGTGCACTTCCAGAAAGGGACGGTGACGCTCAATGCGCTGCAAGCCATCCGATCGATCTACTCCATCATTGTACGGTGGGAGCCGGACGTAACGCAGTGCCAGCGGTGCCTCAAATTTGGACACGGTACCCGCAACTGCAACATAAAGCCACGCTGCAGCAACTGCGCTCAAGAACACGCCACTTCCAACTGCCCTGCGGATGGAGCCGTGGCGTTAAAATGCGCCAACTGTGGTGGTGCACATCAAGGTTCTGACAGACAGTGCTCCAAACGCGAGGACTTCAAACGCATCCGAAAGCAGGCGTCAAGCAACAATCAACCATGACGCAAGAAGGACAAAACCCCAGCATTCAGGACGGAGGATTTCCCGCCTCTTTGTGCTCCCCAGCAAAGGCAAGCAAATTCGCGGGTGCATCCCGCTCACGTACCTTCCGGTGCTTCTGCCCCCTGGATTCTGGAGACAACGAACAGCGCCAAACAACAACTCAGATCTGTTCGAAGCGGATGAACTGATGGATATTTTCGTCAACATGTCCGGTGCTCTTCGTAAGTGCCGCAATAAGCCCGAACAGATCCAAGTGCTCGGTAAGTTTATCATCCAGTATGGCGTCTAAATCGCTAACTATCGTCACCTGGAATGCTTGCTCTGTAGGGCAAAAGAGAATGAGCTTGCCGACTTCCTCCGCAAGCACAGCATCGACGTGGGCCTTCTAACCGAGACCCATCTAAAGTCCGGCGACAGCTTCTGGTTGCCTGCCCACAACATTATTCGGCTTGATCGCACCATCTCCAGGGGGAAGGTGTTGCGGTCGTCGTCATGAAAGGAATAAAATACGAAAATCTGTCCCATATCCGCACTTCTATTATCGAGGACCTTGGTGTGGAGGTGGAGTCGTCGACTGGATACGTCCAGTTCATCGCCGTCTACTACCCTCGACAGTGTGCCGCCAGCAGTGGAATAGCGGTTAAATTCAAGAAGGACCTGTCCACCATCACCCGTACCGGTTTCCGCTTCGTAGTAAGAGATCTAAATGCTCGCCATGAGGCCTGGCGGAACTATCAGCAGAACCAGAACGGTCGTCTCCTGTTCGATCACTCACAGCATGGGCTGAACTCCGTTTGAATTTCGGATGACCCAACATTTATCTCCCCGGCGGGCAACCCATCGACGCTAGACCTGTTCCTGACAAATATCGGCTAGTCCAAGCCGGTAGCTTGAACGAACTCAGCTCAGACCACCAACCGGTGGTGGCTGAACTGGGCTGCAACGTGGCTCCTGCTTCAAGCCTGCGCAAGGACTACCATCGCGTAAACTGGGCCCAGTGTGGACGCGTGGTAGACAGGCACATCATCGACAACCCGCCGCTTAACACCGTGGAGGACATCGACCGAGCGTTGGAGGAACTCCACCAAGCCACAACCGTGGCTGACGAGGCGTGCGTCCGACGAGTTCCTGTGAGGGGTAAGTTTATTGCCATTGATTCCCACAGCCAACTCTTGATTCGCCTGAGAAATGTTCGTAGACGCCAGTTTCAGAGCACTGGAGATCTAGTGACGAAACGTGAATTGGCCGACCTGAACAAGGAGATTGCTTCCAGAATGGTCTCACTCCGGAACGAAAGTTTTGGACGGCTTGTCCAGAATCTGGACGACCGCTCCAGACCATTCTGGAAAGTTGCCAAGGTCTTAAAGACGCACCCTAAGCCCATTGCACCACTCAAAGATGAAAATGATGACGATCGGCTCATAATCACCCCTCAGGAGAAAGCAAATGCGATAGGTGAGCATATTGCCAAATCGCACTTGCTTGGCTCCAACATCCAAAGTCCGCTCGAAGTTCAGGTTGCGCAATGCGTTCAAAACCTTGATTTCTCCCCTTGTGTCGTGCCTTCGGCGGATATGATTACAGTACAACATATTTGCTCAGCGATGAAATGTACCAAGAACATGAAGGTTCCCGGGTTTGACGGTATATTCAACTTGATCTTGAAGAGACGCAGCATGAAAGTGCAGTCTCTTCTAACCACTATATTCAACAGATGCTTGGAACAGCACTACTTTCCAAGCATCTGGAAAGTAGCTAAAACCATACCAATACGCAAACCCGGTAAGGATCCAACATTGTCTTCAAGCTACAGACCAATCAGCCTCCTTTCAGCGCTGAGCAAATTGTTCGAGAAACTCATTCTCAATCGTTTGCTCAAGTTTGTCGAGGAAAACAAAATTCTCCTTCCGGAACAGTTTGGATTCAGAAAGGGGCACTCCACCAATCACCAACTAGTATGGGTGATGAATAACATTCGAAGTTACAAAGCTGTATCTAAGTCCACAGCCATGGCCTTGTTAGACGTTGAGAAAGCGTTTGACAATGTCTGGCACAATGGGCTTGTGTACAAGCTTTGTAACTTCAACTTTCCTTTGCATCTGGTTAAAATCATCCGTAACTACCTCCAGTAAAGGTCGTTTAAGGTATCGTTGAATGGCTGCCTTTCAAACACGTTCTCCATCCCAGCAGGAGTCCCGCAAGGAAGTTTGCTGGGCCCTTTGCTTTACAGCATCTACACTTCAGACATTCCTCCCCTCGGAGACGGTTGCGTGTTCTTCCTGTTCGCAGATGATACCGCAATAACCGTCTCCGATAGAAATAACAAACAACCCAAGCAACACGGCTTGTCATAAAGAAGTTGAAAATACTTTGTAATGACTAACGCAAAGAATCACTAATACTTTAAAATACCTCATTTAATACATTTATACAACCTAAAAAGCGCAAGACGCGGAGCTTATACAACTAAATACTGGTCTTATAACATGTTTTGAAAACATCATAAAAACCAGCGACAAAAAAAAAACAATAAAAAAAACTTGAGCATGGGATTCGATCACTGGTCCTTGGCGTGGTAGACTTGTTACTACCTAACTAGACCAACACCGCTTAATGAAAGGTTTGTTATAAGTATCTATCATGTTCTTGCCAATGGCATGAACATTATTTTCTCGTTCAACACGCCTTCGATCCATCATGAAGACGTTTTGTTAGTAGCAAAGCGTACATCTAATTGCCAGAATGTTATTTAAACGTATTTACAACTCCTTATAAGACAACCTGCACATTTTCAGTTGTATTAATTTATGAGATGTCATAAAAAAGTATTTTCAACTTTCTTTATAACAAACTTCCGAATACCTCATAAGAAACTGTCAATCATTGCATGAAGAGACAGTCCGGTTCAATGGCACCGTCAATGTTTACGTCAATCTGGATTGATTTTGTATACGACAAGTTTTATAGTGGTATTTAAACAGTAAGATGCACGTTCAAATAACATTTAAAGATAAAAGCAAAAGAAAACTATTTTGGAAAATGTTGACTCAAAGAAGTATGAAGAAAACATCTTTAAACCTCATATATAACGTGCGATGTTTTCTGCATCTCTTAAAATACATTTATACAACAAGCCGTTCTAATTCTTTTTCAAAAAGATGTTTTATGTGTTACTTGGGAAGCTCCAACGGTGCCTTGACGCCTTTGCTGATTATGCCACCACGTGGAAAACCAAAATCAATGCCTCCAAAACGCAAACAATCATGTTCCTCCATCGGCAATCACCCAAACTGAAACCGGCTCCCTCTTGAACTGAAGTCATCGATGCCACAAGGGTTGAGTGGCCCGCCGAAGTAACCTATCTCGGGATGTTG